TGTTTGTCGCGGGGTGGACTGCATTTAGGCTCACTTATAAGTCCATGCGCTTATTTGTGAGGGTGCGCTTATGCCCGGGTATAGGCATATGCTCTTATATGCGCGTCACTACGGTGTTCGAATGAACTCGGAATTCTCATGATATGAATCTTCTTCAATATTTCTCTCATGATATTTTATTCAATCTTAGTAGGAATGGAATGTTTTCCTCTGGTGAGAAGGTAGAATTGGCAGTGCTTTAAACGAATTCAAATACCGTAAAAGCCCGTGATAAGGCCCTGGGCGGAAATGCCAGTGAAGGTCCAGAACATGGGCATCAATTCGGGCCCCGGCGCTAACGTGGACCCGGGCGTTATTTGGGATAAGTGAAATAAAAGTTATCTTCCCATGTCGTACTACTACATGTACGAATAAGGTTAGCACAGTGTAAGGTTAGCAAAGTGTACTGTTCAATTTTGCTGTTCAACTTTTGCTCAAATTTTGAATTGTTTGCTCTCCTTGCTTTCCTTGCATTCAGATCATCAGAGCTTTGTGCGTTCAATAAAACACCTTTTAGTAGCACAGTGTACCACCGTACTAATGAGTGTGGGTATTTATCAAAGGTCAATACATTGTACACTATACTACACAATCTTGTACATGCAAGTGGAGCTGTACATGTACTACAACGTGTTCTGGACCTGTGCTTGCGCCCATGGGCGTTCACACGAAAGTGGGCTAGAAAACGGAACAAGAGTGTTGACACTGGACACCTGGATTTGTACACGGGCAGTGGACTTTATACTGGCTGGGCGTTAATACGGGCGTTTACGGTAAAAATATAATGCTTGTCAGATTCCACTCACCCCAGAAGCGCCGGATGAGTCGGCAAAGTGGATGATTGCTTGCAGTATGCCCGGCTGTGCCTGGCAAGACTCACGGGATACCAGCGTCTGCAAAGCACACAGCAAACGTGCCAACAGTATGGGTGAGCTAAACGTTCACAGCAATCGAATAAATTATGAAGGAAACTACTGGAAATTCTGAGCCATCGCTTCCGTTATCTGTACATGTCAATGAGCCGCATACAAGTACATGTGGATACAGTCCTAGGCCGTATCACAAGATCGACACAGTGACAAAACAAACAGTCCTACAGACAACAAGCCGCAGATCATTCATACATTCAGACTCATTCAGACTTTATTCGAAGGATTCCCCAAAATCAAATGTACACTTATCAGGGGATCATGCATGCCAGTACTTGCTAGGGACTTGAAGGATACAATACATGTACATGCACTCATGCGCACATGGTACTGGATGGCAACATGTGCCGACAGCTAGCAGTGCAACAGTGTACTGCCTGTGCATGCATCACACGGTCGTGTTGCTACACGGCGCAGCACTCTTTCTTACTTTGAGATATGCTTCCAGTCCCAATCGCCGCTTCTCCAGGAATGCCGGGTCGAGGTTGTTGAAGGCCCGCTTCGGAGGCAGCTCGGCCGAAATATTCGACTGTACGAGCGCAAGAAAAGAGACCAGCATTAAAGTCTAAAAAGGAGAGAATACTCTATGCATTGGTTTGAGGGAAAGATGCAAACGGGGAAAGTCTGAAGAAAAATAGACTGTCACCACCGGGAATTGAACCAGGACCTTCCTTCACTTGAGGCCAGCGATGCTCTAACCGCTCTCTTCGGCGTTGTAAGTGGCCCTTCTTTCTCCTGCTCACCTGGGGAGTCACTGCAGTCTTGGGTACGCTAACTCTACTGCATATCATCCAGCCATAGAGTACACACAGTACCGTGCAGATGAATACTGTAAAACATGTAATTTTCGGTGTAACTTTAATTTCGGCGATTTCGGTAGAGAAACCAGGCACCCAAATTTAAATTACACCTGGCTTCCCGGAAGCAAATGCTGGTTTTTATACATTCGTGTAATTACTCAGCGTTATTTGCAATAATAATAATAATAATAATAATAAAAGGCACAAGAGTATGCACTGTATGTGACGGGAAATGCTGGCCACCTAATTCTACATTACGCCTGAAACCTGGCAGGTCCCTGGCACCGAAATATTAATGCACCTAGAATTACATGTTTTACGGTGTAAGATACCGCTCACTTACCTTCTCAACAACTGCCACGTGAAAGTTGACAAAGTCGCTGTAGCGTCTCGACACGGACCAGGTCACTGGGTTAGAGGTGTTAGCGTATTTACAATACAGATGAAGAGTGTAGCGCACAATGGACTTGGTGCCATAGCGGGCAATTGCTACAAGACACGGTGGCAAACAAACAAAACGCACACAGTTACAATTATTTAAAAGAAGGCCTTGGAGAAATGGGAGCACATGACTGTCAAAATCATCATGTTGCAGCGGAGAAAACGAAAAGAGAGAAATAGGGTGTGGGTGTGCGTGCGTGAGAGAGAGAGAGAGAGAGAGAGAGAGAGAGAGAGAGAGAGAGAGAGAGAGAGAGAGAGAGAGAGAGAGAGAGAGAGAGAGAGAGAGAGAGAGAGGAAACAGGTAACGGCTGCAACGGCTGAAGATTAGCAACAGCTTTCCACAAATACAAAAATGTACACGCTTCTCTCTCCCCCCCCCTCAGGTCACTTCTAAATCTGCAGCAAGTCATGTGCTTGGTAAGACCGCAGGTGTACATTGCCAAACTGTTAGCAGCCTGATCCCCTCTCAAGTTTCAAATTCACAAAAACTTCCAGCAAGTCGTTATTCGTATTCCTTGCAGCTTACAGTGCGAGGGGACTGTAACTGCAACGCTCTCCACTTGGTCGGACCCGGACGGAGAGGTGAGGACAAGAGGCTCCACAAACGCACCGCTCGCCAGTAGCATGTCTTCGCGCTGACTCTTCACAAGAGACAAGCACAAACAACAACACACAGCTGCTCGTCATGATCGACAGTTGGAAAAAAATTTCTTCACCAAATCCTTCACCGTATTTAGCACAGCTTGTTTCGAAACGATATCAAGGAAATCGCTTAGATTAGAATCTGCGACGGACTTGGCCAGTTGAACAAAAATTGAAACGCCCCACCACAGTCCACACTGCGCTCAAGAACGAATTCCTTCACTATGGTCTTGACTCTTGTGACTGTGGGCCAAGAGCGCAGTCTGGAATGGTGGAGCGTTTCAAAGTAGTGTATAAATCATCACTTTCTCCCAAGGAAACTCTAAAATGATAGTAAAATCACTCAAAGAAATCACAAATTCAACCCAGGATAGCATTTGATTTGACCTCGATAGAAACCGCACAATCCATGGAATCTGCCAGGATCGGGATTCAACGAAACACATATGCAGCCCTACAATTCAATGTCTTTGAAGTGTCGCCATGGAAACCAGAAAGACTTCAGTTATACAAAAAATAAGTCGCAGATTGTACACAGTCAACTCACAGATGATCCGTGCATGTCAACACTTTCCGTGAGCATTGCTTCAAAGTCACCATCATCGCCCTGAACAGATATGCTGTCCAGATCATCGCTATGGCTGGTCGTTGACAGCTGGCGTAGACACCTAGAAACAACAACAACAACAACAACAACAACAACAACAACAACAACAACAACAGCAACAGCAGCAGCAGCAGCAGCAGCAGCAGCAGCAGCAGCAACAACAACAACAACAACAACAACAACAACAACAACAGCAGCAGCAACAACAGCAGCAGCAGCAGCAGCAGCAGCAGCAGCAGCAGCAGCAGCAGCAGCAGCAACAACAACAACAACAACAACAACAACAACAACAACAACAACAACAACAACAACAACAACAACAACAACAACAACAACAACAACAACAGCAACAGGCACACGGTGTGTTTCCTTTGCTACCACACAATGTTCTAATGTATAGTGATTAGTGAAGCATATCCCGGGACCGTCAGAAGAGGTTATGTGAATAATGACATCAAATACGTTTCGTGAGTGCCAAACCCAGTGTTAGAGAGGTTCTGCAAAACGAAAATGCATACAAACTTTCGCTCTACGTCATGAAGCGAGAAACTTCGCACGAACTTTCGCAACTTTAGGACGCGAAACTTGCAGGGAACGTGAAATGAACTTTCGTGAGAAGCTTCATGAGATCGGGTCAACGGGTTCACCGCGTACGTGCACCAGGGCGCATGCAAACTACGAAAATGTTCAGAACACAAAGTTCGTGCGAAAATTCGCAAACAGTTTCACAAGGCCCATCGTGAAACTTCGTTCGAATTTTCGTTTTGCAGAACTTCCCTATTAGATCCACAGAGGGCGGTGGTGGCGTTCCTACGGATGCGGAAAACCCGGCCTCTAGCCGAGTCTAACGAGAACCGTGATTTTGTTTAGCCTTCCGCGGCTATTTTACTCCCTGATGCCATCATGCGTAGCAAGAGAGATCAAAGGATAACGAATCTGTACATCCCAGCTACGGTAGTCGAAGCAGAGCAAGGGACGGCAGGCCAGTGTGTCCTGGCCCCGAAGAACTCACACCGTATCTACAAACCAAGCGCGGACAAGCATACACACTTCATTATACTTCTGCCAAAGAATGACGTAATACAAAAATTTCGCCATGGATGAACCCATCACAGCTTGAGATCGGAGTGTCCCACTCTTGGTGATGTACTCTTGCCAACACATAGCACTCACTGTGAATAGAAGGACGATCTCTGGTACTCTGGGTAGCAGGAGCGCTCTACCTCGGCAACAGACTGCACAACAGTACAGATAGCGCACAACACACACACACGCACGCACGCACGCACGCACACACACACACGCACACAAAAGCACACGCACGCACACACTCACACACACACACACACACACACACACACACACACACACACACACACATACACACAAACACACACACATACATACATCACAAGATGCTACTGCTGTTTTAAAGATGTACATATCAGTTAAGAACGCAGTCATACTGAGCTCGGTTCAGCGAGTGCGACTTTCAGCTGTAGTTGACTCTCAGCCGTTTCGGACGTGGCTGAATTCAGCCACAGCTTGCACAACTGGCCGAAAGTCAAAGAGCAGGAAATTTGAGCGTGCGTGAAAGCACGAGGACCAGTGGACCCGAGGAACTGAGATCGACAGCGTATCGATGTTCTTGTTGCTGCGGTGCTCGGCCTTTGCCTTTGATTTTGACCGCGTGCCTGTCTCTCCATCAGTTCAGTTTGACGTTGGTTTTCTCCGACGACCATGGATTCTTGAACTGTGCCTCTGGAACGTAGATTGCTGGAGCTGTGGTTCCAGGCGAAGACACTGCACCAAACGACCATGAAGAAAGACACACAGAGGAGAGTGTGGTTGCGGGCGGATACATGGGATTCGCCTTTAGACAGCGACCCCGATGAGATTCCTGTAGCTGTGGCCAAGCGGAAGGCTACCCCAGCAACGCCAACCGGGGATGACGGTCAAAAGGGCGGAAGTAACTCCTAGGGAGAATGCGACCAGAGCCAGCAACACGAACCAGGCCAGCGATGGACGCAGTGCCAGAGCCAGAAACGCTGGCTCCATGATGGATAGGTTCCTGGACACATACAGTCAGGCCTGTACCCAGAGGGAAGAGGGGGCAGATCGCCGGGCACAAGCTGACAGGGATCACGATGCGTATTAATGTTCTTATTGTTGCGGTGCTCGGCCTTTGCCTTTGGTTTTGACCGCGTGCCTGTCCCTCCATCAGTTCAGCTTGACGTTGGCTTTCTCCGACGACCATGGATTCTTGAACTGTGCCTCTGGAACGTAGGTTGCTGGAGCTGTGGTTCCAGTCGAAGACACGGCACCAAACGACCATGAATAAAGACACACAGAGGAGAGTGTGGTTGCAGGCGAAGACACGGCACCAAACGACCATGAAGACACACAGAGGAGAGTGTGGTTGCGGGCGAAGACACGGCACCAAACGACCATGAAGAAAGACACACAGAGGAGAGTGTGGTTGCGGGCAGATACATGGGATTCGCCTTCAGACAGCGACCCCGATGAGATTCCTGTAGCTGTGGGCAAGCGGAAGGCTACCCCAGCAACACCAACCGGGGATGGCGGTGATGGTAATCACACTGGCTAAGTCCACCTACGTCCGCCATGTCCTCTTCGACAACGGACTTGTGGGTGTTGAGAACAGGAAGCTGACGGTCCACCTCAACAAGCCGGTGTACGTTGGCATGAGCATCCTGGAGCTGAGCAAGGAGCTCATGTACAGATTTTACTATGACGAGCTCCAGCCACGCTACGGAGACCGCATGAGCCTGCTGTACACAGACACAGACTCGCTGGTGTTGCTGTTCCGCACGGAGGACCTCTATGCGGACATGAAGAGTATGGCCGATCAGTACGACACCAGCAACTTTAGCCCCGACAGTCCTCTGTACAGCGAGAGTAATAAGAAGGTTGTAGGTAAATTTAAGGACGAACATGCGATACCGCAGGTAATGATGATAAGTGATGATGATGAAGATGATGAATATGATGAGGAGGAGCAGCAGGAGCAGCAGCAAGGGCCGGGACCGGCACAAGCACCACCACCACCACTACAGGCTCAGCTTGTAGGTTACGACGAGGTGGTGGTGGTTAGTAGAGAATTAATTGACGGAGGTATAGTGAACGTGGTGACCATCACAACGAAAACATTCCGATACGATAACGGAGAAGAGTTCACTAATGTCCATATATTTACTAACGTGGAAAATCATTTGATTTAAAATACAACAATCTAATCTGGTGTGATGATGGTGATGACAGCCAAAAGGGCGGAAGTAACTCCTAGGGAGAATGCGGCCAGAGCCAGCAACACCATCCAGGCCAGCGATGGACGCAGTGCCAGAGCTAGGAACGCTGGCTCCATGATGGACAGGTTCATGGACACATACAGTCAGGCCTGTACCCAGAGGGAAGAGGGGGCAGATCGCCGGGCACAAGCTGACAGGGATCACGATGCCGATATGGCAAAGCGACATGAGCAGCACAGCACCATGCTGCAGTCGCAACTATTGGAGACAACTGCTTGCATCCAACAGAATCAGCAGCAGTGTGTCACCAACAACCTGCAAGCGATCATGACGTTCCAGGCGAATTTGTTGAAGAACGTTCTGGGCAATTCCGACAAAGAAAAATAAATAAATTGTTCAGGTGTCAATTATCAATTCGAGCGCCGGTATTGTGACGGCCAGTATGAGGGCAAGATCCTACAACGCTTGGATGAGCGTATTCGTCAGCATGTAACCTTGCATATTATGCTGGCTCCTCAAAACATCAACCAGACCTCCCCGTGGTAGTCCACCACAGAGGAGAAGTGTCAAATCCTCGGCTACCAGGGTTGTTTAAGTGTATTTGAGACAGAGCTTCCAAGTCCAGCCCTCAGCTCCTGACAACCAGCTGTGCGCAGGCGGAGCGCAGAGGCAGGCCACCTCGCAAGCCACCGGGGCGCAGAGGCAGACCACCTCGCAAGCCACAGGGGCGCAGAGGCAGACCACCTCGCAAGCCACCGGAATCTACCCCACCGCTGCTTTAACTCCTCACTACAGTCGTCCCTCTCTAATCCAGCACTTTATAAACCAGCACAATTTTCAGTAGCCAAAATGTCCTCTTCATGCACATTGCAGCAGTAAATCCGATTTGTTAATCCAGCACCCTCCCTAACCCAGCACAATTTCCGTGGCACAAATGGTGCCGGATTAGAGAGGGACCACTGTATTGTATTTAGAAAATAAAAAAGGACCAAGGAACTACAAGTTACGCTATAATCCTTGGTCCTTGGTCCTTTATATTTTCTATAAATTAATCCTTGGCTCTCCATCCGAGTCCATTATACTTCAGTAGTATTTAGGTATGCCAATCTCTGTTAGCTCTTTGCCTATACTATAAGTCTACACATTTTCGGCAGCCTTCAAATTTCGGCCTCCCAGGGCTACAACAAATTTCGGCCTGTACTGCTGCCGCCTGCATACACTGTCACACTGAACTTTGCAAAACAAATTTTCGGCCAAAATGCCCAGGCCGGAAATAGCAGAACAAAAATATCTGTTGACGTACAGTACAAAATACCTCTGACGAGAAGGTTCCGAAAACGTTAGAGAATATTTATTACAACTACTGGAGCAACCTTTCTCCTGTTATGTACATTCACGTTGTTGTACTTTTGTAAGCAATATGTAGGTTCTGCAGAATGATATTGACAGGGTTATGTCCACACAGATGTCCAGTCTGTGCACTCTACATTTTGCAAGTTTGCATTTAACTTCTGTGATGTTGCCCACAAACCAATGTACATGGCAATGGAATTTTCCCAACACAGATGATGATTTTGCCAAGCGCCTTAGGAGAGAGCTATGGAAACACTCATGATAACCAGTAAAAGCAAAATATCAGGATCAGGACTTCTAAACCAAGCAGGTCAAAAATCTCAAAATAGGACATTTTCATGGCTGTTGTTGGCGGGAGAAGGTCAATCGTCGGCAGGTCATGAAGTGCCTCCAAAACTATCAACCTGTTTGGGAGTGCATACGGCTCTCAACTACAAATCCCGTACAGCGCATTACATCATGGATGTCCATTTGTGGTACTGTCCACTAAAAAAAGCTGTCTTTTTATGTGCCTGGATATGTGGTCTAAATAAATAAAAAAGTATAGGATTTCGCTTGCCACAGCTGTAGTGGGCAGTGAAAATACTACAAGGCACGTAACAAGCAGTGTTCATTAGGCATTGCTAGACACATTTCTTTAAACGACGACAGTCAACTTCGCGTATAACGACACTCGGTGGGGCATCAGAAAAGTGTCCTTATTCGCGGAGTGTCGTTAGACGCGAAGTCTCATTTGGATCGGACTTTGCTCTGGGCATGGAAATTCTGTCGTTGTTCGCGAATTGTCGTTATATCCGCAGTCGTTATTAGCGAAGTTGGCTGTACGCCATAGCTTAGTGGTAGAGCATCGCTGGCCATAAGCAAGGGTCCCTGGTCCGTGAACATCGATTTTTCTTCAGACTTTTCCCTTTTTCAACTCCCCCAACTGTATGGAATTTAAATTGTTCTGGTCTGGTCTGGCGTGTTGTGACTAACCTGTTTCTGTGCCTCGTCAAACCAATCACTGCTCGGCGGCCGGGTGTTGATCAGACTCCACACGTACTGGCAAACGTCAGACGAGAAACACTTCAAACGTACCTGCACGCACACATGCACGCACGTACACACACACACGCACACACACACACACACACACACCGAGGTGGTACAAAATGAACAATATAGCAGATAGCACAGCAACAGACACAAGCACATGTTCACACACACACACACACACACACACACACACACACACACACACACACACACACACACACACACACAAGCACATGTTCACACACGCACGCACGCACGCACGCACGCACCCACCCACCCACACACACACACACACACACACACACACATACACAGGACTATGCCATCTTGGGCATTCAAACGTGCACATACCGCTTCGCCCAGGTATGAGTCATAAATGCTCATCGCCATTTGCCGCAGATCCTCTACTTCCGGCGGAGCACTATCACCCTGCAGTACATAGAACATACACCAGCACATTCCCAGCAGCAGCCAAGAAACACACATGAGACCTATGGATAAACAACACTCCAACGGAATGGACCCTTTCAAAGTTACAGCACTCAATGAATAGCAACACCGCCTGCTTTGCGCGGCCAATGGATAGTATACGTATCGAGAGAGAGAGAGAGAAAGAGAAAGAGAGAGAGAGAGAGAGAGAGAGAGAGAGAGAGAGAGAGAGAGGGAGAGAGAGAGGGAGAGAGAGAGAGAGAGAGAGAGAGAGAGAGAGAGAGAGAGAGAAACAGAGAGAGAGAGAAACAGAGAGAGAGAGAGAGACAGAGAGAGAGAGAGAGAGAGAGAGACACACACACACACACACACACACACACACACACACACACACACACACACACACACACACACACACACACACACACACACACACACACACACACACACACACACACACACAGATACAGACACACATACAATCCAGATGGATGAATAGTAGAAAGGACACACAAGAACATACCCGCTGAAGACTTTCTTTCCGTGCCTGGATCTTCTGCTGTGCAGACGTCCGGAAAGCCTGCATGAAAAACGGCGTTAGAACGTCATCACAGATACCATAGCTCTAAGAATATGGAAACGGTGCTCGAGATGTTCTGTGTGCGTGCTGGAGAGAGAAGGGGAAAGATCGAGATCGAGAGAGAGCTAGATACTGCTTCTAGCAGTTTGAGCACTCTCAGCGCTAGTATATCGAGCTGTCCTAATGTCTGTGGTTCTCGTAGCCATGGCTGACAGTTCAATCCTATTTTAAGCTCGGAATTGCACTGATGAGGCCTCATTGGTCGAAACAGTCTGGCTGTCTGCATCATTGAGTATTTCGCTCCTCGATTTCGCTCTTGTAGAGCAGTCTCAATAGGACGCACTTGCGCTGGTTAGCTTTATGCTTTGCCCGCTGCTTCTAGCAGTTTGAGCACTCTCAGCGCTAGTACATTGAGCTGTCCTAATGTCTGTGGTTGTCGTAGCCATGGCTGACAGTTCAATCCTATTTTAAGCTCAGAGTTGCACTGATGAGGCCTCATTGGCCGAAACAGTCTGGCTGTCTGCATCATTGAGTAGATAGATAGATAGATAGATAGATACACAACAGAACAACAAGGACAATCAAGGCTTGTTTGCTGCTACTTCAAGTTTCATGCTCACGCAATCATCAGGCAACATGAAGTTCATGTTGCCTGATGATTGCGTGAGCATGAAACTTGAAGTAGCAGCAAACAAGCCTTGATTGTCCTTGTTGTTCTGTTGTGTATTACGCTCTACCTTTGTGGTGTTGAGCACTGTCAAGCACTCTGGGTACATCCTTCGGTAGATAGATAGATAGATAGATAGATAGATAGATAGATAGATACACAAAGGCAGACAACAGGGACCAAAAATCTTTCTCGTAACTCGGAGATTTGTGTTCATAAACACTCATCAGACGAGATAGATAGATAGATACAGAGATAAAGTAGATGAATAGATACTCAATCTGAGGACAGAACTGTTTCGTCCTTTGTGGACTCATCAGCGCAGCACAGAAAAATGAGGCCGAACCTGATAGCAATGAAAAATAAATCTTCCAAAGCCAGATTTAAACCAGGCCCGAACGTACCTTAGATAGATAGAGAGATGGATAAATTGAGAGAGAGAGAATTAAACATTGGGAAATTACAGCTCCGGCGTTCCTTACCTCGCAAGTTAGCCAGAATTGAACCAGTTTCTTCTCGGGGCGATTCTCCAAAAATTCTGAAGACAAAACAACACGACATATACTATATAATCACAATGCAAAACGAGTCCATGGACCAGCTACACAGCTCACAAGTACAATTGGCGGAAACCGAAGGGCAACAGAAACAAGAGCCACTCACAGTCCACAAAGAGGAATAGCATGTGTGTGGGTACAGTGGGCTGCGGGAAATATCTGTGGACTTTTGAACTCCAAAGGAGTTGAGGAAAGTTGAATTCGCCGGAAATATCCTTTTCAATGCGCCAGGGAACACTCCATCTGTGACCGAATGGCCCCGTCCAGAAAACATACGCGGACTTGCACACTCGTGTCTACGGAGTCTTGGCGTCATCAGTCCAGTTTCAGTTGTGCTAGATTTCGGAACAAGAGACTCGGTGAAGGATGCCCAAACACCGAGATGACTGAGAGAAACGAGAGAGCTTGGAAGCTCAGGGCCCTACGCTATGCTTGTTTTGCCTTGATGACCTAGACAAAAAAAAGCATAGAGATGTTATAAATTCTTTAAAAAATCCTTTTTTTTAGACATAACCTGGGATTCGAACCCGCACTATCGCGCGCCCTGCATGCACCCCCCGATACACTTCGCATACATACTAATTCTTCCAAGTTGTTTCACATTGTGATCTTGCATTTGAAAGCCCTACTTGAATATGCATTGTGGCCAGCCGTCTTTGATGGCACGGTACGGTAGGGAATAGGTATGGGACAGGTATGATCGAGGGTAATACGACACCGTCTCCCGTACCGTACCGTACCATCAAACACAGCTGGCCACATACAGCTTCCCGCAATATTCAAATAGGGCTTTCAAACGCAAGATCATAACGTGAAGCAACTTGGAAGAATGGGTATGAATGCGAAGTGTATGGGGGAATGCATGTAGGGCGATAGTGCGGGTTCGAATCCCAGGATATGCCTGAAAAAATAGGAGAATTGAAAATTTATAACATCCTATGCTTTTTTGCCGTCAGATACGGATAGCGCCAGGCGTGACACAAACAAACAAACAAACACACAAACAAATACCAAACGAGAGAGCTTGGAAGCTCAGAGCCCTACGCTATGCTTTGTTGCCTAGCTCATCGTGCATGTTGTTAGAACTGGTGGACATGCTTTTTCCTTTGATTAGCTTCATCATTGTATTGCCAAAACGTTTCAATGAGATACTGAAGTAACGTCTTCTGCATAGCTTCGGGACCGGCGCTGACTCTGCCGATCACGGGCGTTCTGCAGTCGATGACGTTTCCTGGGACCGGCGCTGACTCTGCCGATCACGGGCGTTTATCTTATTATTATTATTATACTGGCGGCAACCAACATCCATTCTGATTGCATTTACTCGTCTCCCTACTTCGTATTTCTTTCCAGAAAATCTCCCCATACAGCAGGGAGTCGTTTACATAATATGACTCCCTGCTCTACATCTACATGACTGTATAATTATACGTTATAGTTATTATGCTATCCGTCTACATGCGATTCCCGGGCAGGTCGACAGGCGGCCCAGCCAGCCTGCTAATGGGATCTCGGCCTCGCACACAAATCCACACAAAAATATTGTGGCCAGCTGTCTTTGCTGGTACGGTACAGTACGGGACAGATACGGGATAGCGCCAGGCGTGACACAAACAAACAAACAAACAAACAAACAAACAAACACCAAATTAAAGCTGTGTGGACCCTGGCTAGCGCCAGACGTTACTGAAGTAACGTCTTCTGCATAGCTACGGGAATTAAAGCTGTGTGGACCCTGGCTAGCGCCAGACGTTACTGAAGTAACGTCTTCTGCATAGCTACGCGAATTATTAATCGCCTGTTATGCCACTCCAGTACATATACTTGGAAGTAGGATATGTGTCATATAAGTTATAACAGCAGGCCAACGGGTGTGATTCACAATCATGTTCACTTCTGCAGTGCAATATACATGTACAACTTGCCATACAGTCAAACCTCGTTAAGAAGAACACTGATAAGACAAACTTTCACTATAGAAGAACTAGAATTCCAAACTCTCTCTGATACACCACTGTGTATTCACTGGGTATACAATATGGATAAGAAGAACTCCCGTTATAGCAAACACATACCATCGGTCCCTTGGTGTTCATCCAAAGGAGGTTTGACTGTACTTGCAATATGAACAAACTTGCCGCACACTGTCGTCAAACTTACCACATAAATAAGACAATGCCACATTGTTGCCCAGAACAACCTCAAGTGGCAGGCTGGGCAGCGCGCCTGTCGGTGCGTGCGGCATAGCGGCGGAGCCTTCGGTCGGCACATCGCTATCCTCTCCAGCAGTCGTGTCGGACTGTTAACACACACACACACACACACACACACACACACAGACACACACAGAGGGTATGCTTACACGTTAGTTCAGAGCAGCACATGGTAGGAAACTCAGACATCACCTGAAGAAATTGGCTTGGAAATTTCGCCATGCATCAATCGAAGGAAATCTTTGAATGATGCCCACAAAATCAGCAGTGTCACCCATACTGGTGAGGCTCTTCCTGTCTGTATGAATGCAGGAGTATCGTGCGCTTGGAAATGGTTCGGGAGGCTCAGAGTATGAATTTTAGCGTACGAATACTTCTAGATTCATATCAGTTTGTCATGTGACCGAATCTGTGCAGAAAGTGATCATGGCATGATGTGGACAGTGGAACTAACATGACCGAAACCATGTGACCCAAAGATGCAGGAGTTGAGTGGAGTTGGAACTAACATGGCTCTCCTGTATGGTCAGATGATAGATGTGAAAGCACCCCATACAATAATTGTGTTTTGTGAGCTGGCATTCTCCAGAGCGAAGACTCAACACGTCGAACGTGTCAAACGCACCTGGGGGTCCAAGATGCCATGGTGAAGTTGATCAAGGCGAGTCATACAGAACGTCTTGAGATGTGATAAGCTGTCCAGTGTCTGTTTAGCGCTAGAGCCAGGGTCATCTACATATAGTCAACAACAGGCAAGGACACCAAGAAGAGGAAACACAGAGCCAAGTGGAGCTATGTATTACAGCGGAAAGAAATATTCAGCACATGCGTGTGCAGGAGTGTGTGTGAGTGTGTGTGTGTGCAGGAGTGTGTGTGAGTGTGTGTGTGTGTGTGTGTGTGTGTGTGTGTGTGTGTGTGTGTGTGTGTGTGTGTGTGTGTGTGTGTGTGAGAGAGAGAGAGAGAGAAAAAAAGAGAGAGAGAGAAAGAGAGAGAGAGAGAGAGAGAGAGAGAGAGAGAGAGAGAGAGAAGAGGGAGAAAAGAGATCAATCCCATTTCAGACAAGTACGTGTCCGTCTACATGTGCTTGAAAACACAGCCTCACACTAAATACTAGGCAGGAGTTGGTACAAGGCTAGAAGAGTGTATCTGTGCATATGAGGAGAGTTAGTTGCTCTGTGCGGTATGGGAGTATGGCAGCTTACCTCCGGAATCATGCTCCCTTGTCTTAGCAATCTCTGCTTCAATCTGAACCAGGACTTCCTCCAGTTCAACCACACTGCGAGATGTCCTGCGAGGAAAAGGGAAAGAGATGACACACACACGCACACACACACACACACACACACACACACACACACGCACACACACACACACACACAGCAAGAGAGCGAGTGAGATGTGATAAGATGTGTGATGAGTGATGGCAGATCATGTCGTCCTCGCTCCCCATTGAATCTCAGCAGCCATGCATGTGACTGGTGACATCATCCGCAACCATAAAAGATAAAAGTATAGACATGCATATTGCATACACACAAATATACGGCCATCGCTGAAGCAATGATAGCGAACATGCCATGCTGGACATAGCAACAAGTGCTGGGATCATATCACTCAACAGCTTGCACATGCACACGCACACGCACACACGCACACACACACACACACACACACACACACACACACACACACACACACACACACACACACACACACCACAAACAATTGGATTTCTTACTTTACAATGTGCGTGAAGATCTCCGCAGTAAACATGGACGGTTTCAACTGTATGCAAAAACACAATAGGAGTGCTGTAAAATCCATATATATAACGAAGTGCTAACTCTAACGAGTTAACGAGGAGAAATCTGTCGTTAAAATAGAAATCGTTATACAGAAACCGATACGTATACTGTCCTATTGAGCGTTGAGAATGAGTGAGAATCGTTACCTTTGGTACACGTAAACTAGTCAATTTTGGGAAATCGTTAGATAAGCGCCTTGTTAGAATAATGGCTTTTACAGTAGTGTCCGTGGCATTCTCTTTATGGCTGAGAAGCTATAGTGTAATCACAGCCAACATTCAGCTGCAGGGTGTGTGAAATGTAACAGGAAATTACAAATAGGCGAATCACACACGCAAAATTTAGGACACGGCATCAAACTCAGCACAGAAAGGGTTGTTTGTGCTCACCAGCCAAGTCAGCGTCTGGTTCACGTAGTCCTCATCGGCCATTCTCTCCACAAGTGGTAGGAATACAGTGTTGACCATCACCTCCTGTGATATGCACATAGTTACACGTGCACACACGCATGCACGCAAACACACACACACACGGCACATTAACTCACGTCGACAAGTGGAAATGGTCAAAACACTGAGCGTCCATTTGCAAGTAAGATATGACTAAAGAACGGGGCTATGTGTTTCTACCAGAAGGACCAATTAATTTGTAATTTTCAATGATGAAATAAATATGCATTGTATTTGCCAAGGTGCCATGCATCAACACCACCAGTGGAGCGGGTCAACACAGACACACAACATACATGCATACCTTGAGGAGCTGCCGTAAAACTTTGTTTTCAAAGTCGCCTTCCGGCAACAGCAAATAGAGCACAATTTCACTGATATCTCGGAGATAATCTGCAGAATGGGCACGTGCACACACACACACACGCGCGCACACACACAATGACAATGTCCGTACAAAGCAAGAGTACCGTATTATCTCTAATATAAGCACGGTCCTTTATTTTTTCAATGTACCTCCGCCCCGTGCTATTAATGGAGACGTTCCTTTATTGGAGACTGTTCCATTATTATTTCAACCTCATTTCAGAGGCATGTTGCCATGCCAAATTCATGTCAGACACACACATTTCAGGGGTTTTTCGCCTGTACAGATAATGAATTTACACAGTGTGCTTATAATGGAGACTGAGCACTTTATTTTTTGAATGCCGCCCCAAGGTGTTCTATTATTGGAGACGTGCTATTATTGGAGATTGTGCTTATATTAGAGATAATACGGTAAGGGGCCGTCCGTAAATATCGATGTTTTTTTAGAGACGATATTGGTGCGTCTGGGGGGGAGGGGGTTTGAGCCATGTGCGTCTTTTCGAGCATCAGAAAAATATCGATGTAAATATCTGAAGTTTCGCCGATCCCTGCACGCGGACGTCTAAATGGCTATACAAGAAATGTGAAACCAGCTTCCGTTCGCGGAGCTAAAACTCGCGACACGAGAACAAAATCAAAAATTGGAAGCTGTACGCCCATGGCGAATTTCAAGAGCAAAAGAATGAGCTATTGATTGTGGAAATCGGCCGAACGATGCCTGCAGGAGACCTTTTTCAAGACGTAGAGGCAGTGCGAACAAACACGGACGAACTCCACAAGAGTTTCCAGTCTTCACTGTCTGAACAAGGATTTGAAAAAATTCAAGCCCGAGCGTAGCCGCTTTGTCTACACCAGTACGCGATGGCTGTGAGCACTGCAGCGCCAACCCGGTTCGCTCCCCCCAGGCGATGCAGCTATTGCGTGAGTGCGGCGGGATTTTCACGCCTACACCGGACCCTCAACATCCTGGGCACTTCATGAGCATCCAAAAATATTGATTCCATGATCTAGATGTACATGTGCGTCTTCTGGGGGGAGGGAGGGGGGTCAAGGGAGAGAAGCACCAATATCGTCTCTAAAAAAACATCGATATTTACGGACGGCCCCTAAGTCTTCTCAAAGTACATACAGGGTGAGATCCACTGTATTGCGAGCTAGTGATGGTTCACACTACGGGAGCATGCCAACAGGCACCCCGGCCCGGGACAGATGGCTACAAGTGACTCATGTAAGGGGGGGGGGGGGGGGGGGAGAGAGAGAGAAGGATTGAGATGAATGTGAACAACTTTGCAGGTCCAGTATGTCGTACAGATCAG